GGCTATCGTACTTACCGGTCCGACACGATGTGAGTGCACGCTTTTCATTGTACGGTCAGACTGTTTATAATGGTGAGAAACACTACATTTCGACAGACTACTGACTCAGAGCGCATAGCAAACATGCATAATTGCCTTTCTGCTCGAACACACAGCTTTTCATTGCGGATGGAGGCCTTGACCTAGCCGTTGAAGTGGACCTTCGATCAAACAACACCCCTTGATGGGAGCTGGGATTCTCGACACGACAATTTTTGACGGGTGCGTGATGACATAGCGACGTAGCACTGCTCCCTTCAGCTCAGATGTGAGGTTGGATGCGCGGGAGTGGGTTCTTGCTATAACTGATGATATATAGGTTGTGACTCACGATACTTGCGAACAAGCTCACGCGGGGCTGCGTTCGAGCTGTTTACATTTGAAAATGGTCTGGGAAACGGACATTCTTATGAGAAGTTCGGCGTGGCAGAGTCAAGGAAATGATATCAATACGTGCGTCCTGCAAGTAACTGCTAGGATGTAGATATAAGATATCGAAAATCACAGAGTCCCTCGGCTGCCCTCGAGAGCACACGATACGACCATGTAATGCATGCAATGATCGATATAGATGATACTCCACGAAACCCGTTCACACTGTGAGGCAGATCATATTGTAGTGGGCAAAGAGCCAAGATCAACGAAGAACGAGAGATTCATATTAGTTAGCTTGCTTGACATTGTAAAAATTAATAGTTATCCCATCTATGCGTTGCTTATAGTTCTTCGAGGTAATAACCAAGCAATCAGATCTATTGTCTGCCCAATATATCTGATCTGTACAAATAGTAACGACGGAGTCTTTGTAGCTATTTGGGCTCAAACCCGAAGGGTTTGCGACCCGAAACATCGTTTCGAACCTGTGGAGAGTCCAGGATGAGCCGTGATTCCCAAATCGAAGGAGCCCAGGCCATCAGAAAATTCACACATTCCTTATTTTGCCCTTAAACAGACTTATTCACACTTAACCACCTTGTTGAAAGTGGATCTACTTGTCTGAAATTTCAACTTGAATGTATTAAGAAAAAAAATGTTGAGATGTATTAATGGACATATTTTATTATGTTCCACATTAAAAAAATATCAGATATGCCAGGTGAATGATGTGAGAGAGACAAAACAAGTTTTGAGATAAGTGAGATAAGCTGATTAAGGATGTTAAGGAATGTGTGAATTTACTGATGGCCAGCGACGCATTAGGCGCAGTGTGGACTCCCACTTCAAAAAGGAGAAGGGCGACACAATGACATACCTTGTCAATATACTGGGGGCATGGTGTACCGTGTGAAGGGTTCTAGAGCGGGAGAACCTTGCAAATACGGCGCTAGTATCAAGGCGTGTTTACGCAGGTAGCTCGTGAAGGCTTCACTCAACCACCTCCCCATGGACTTGACTACATCGAAGGGAATACCATGCAGTAGGTACTCCAATGTCCCTCCGATACTTAATCCATGTCCTTTCAAGTTCCCCAAGCTGGCTCTCTTGATTATCCTGCTGACTCGTTTCCAGAATTCTGTCTGAGTTAAAGGTCTCATCCCTTTCGCGTGTTTCCAGGCGAAAAGGTGAGCATTCTGTCCCGGATTGTTGACTGCGAAGTGATTAAGCATGGCAGCCTTTGGGTCGGTAAGATTGTCTTGTCTCGCCCAGAATACACTCTGGCCGATGTTCGAGGTTTTGGTTCGCGGAATAAAAATCTTGGTGACTAGAAAATCATGATGATCTTTGATGTCGATTTGCACGTTGGATCGTTTGACGTGCTTATCGATGTCAAAGGCATTCAGAGCCCTAACGGTGAGTTTGCCTAGACGACACAATGCGTAGAACGTGATCGTTAGGCATGCATAAACTGCCGCGTCAAGTGGCTTCGATAGATCGAGATGGGACCGAATTTGAAGGATTAGACTTGTTGAAAAAGGTTCGCGTTTCATGCGTTTGGATGTTTCGGGAGTGCATTCTAACGCTCCGTCCAAGGATGCTTTCAACTCGTCTTGTTGAACCTCCCATGGCTGGCCGTGCAATGTATGCCATGCCTTGATCGCATATACGTAGTTCGCCAGCGTCTTCCCCGAGTATGAGCCCGCACAACTCGACACGAAGTTCAACATCATGCATGTGTCAACAGGGCATCGTTGTTCCTCTGGAATGGCCCTTTCATCACAGAAAACATGAAAGACCAGCAACCCTGCTCCATAGCATTCCCTGGTGCTCGCGGCCCATGACATGTTCATTACTGTGAGTACCCTCTGCAGGTCCTCATCAGTAATCGCTAATGACCTTCCTTCTACCGTTTCTGCTAGTCTTGACTTCAACGGGAACCATTGTTTTAGTCGATCCCGAGCCAAACAGTGCGGTCTCAGGCGAGACGACACGGGCACTAGGCCTTGCTTGTATGGCTGAGGTATGGCCGGTTGTTCTATGGGGAGTGTGGCCTTGAAGCGGGTGTTATTAACAGTCCCACTGTTGAAGTTTGTGGATGGGGTATAGTGTGTCTGCGGTGACATGTCTCTCTGTGCTGGGATGGTTATCTGAATGGCTGTCAGCAGCTCTCCTGCCGATGCTTGGGTGGGTTCCTCCTGTATCGTAGTCTGCTGGGTTAGTGGAGATGACGAAGGGATCAATGATGAATGGTTGAAGCGCGGTTGGGATGGGGAGGGTCGGGAGTAGGAACTTTGTACTGCCGTAGACCCCTCTGGATGGTGCGTCTGCTGGATTGGCTTTGCTTGTGACGTAGGTGGGGTGAAAAGAGTAAGGCTCTGAGGAATCGTCGATAAGAGAGAAAATCCATCTGAATACTGAGTTGACTGCCGAGTTCCTGCTACAGCCATTTCTCCAGCCTTCGATAACTCCTTGATTATCTCTGTAGACCCTGAAGTGACGCTCTGTTCCTTCCTCTTGAATGAGGTGTTGGACGAGGAGTTCGAATCCAACTGCCTCCGCCCATCCAATGTCTTTTTCCCCGTCGAGCTTTTGCCATCCTTTGCGCAGCCTCCATGCTCTCCATCTATCTCCAATAATGATAGCAATTCCAACACCGGAACTCGCATCTGAGAAGGCTGCTGGGTCATGTAATGATAGAGGACTGGGTATCGTACGACCGACGAAAGGCTTTTGGAGCAAGTCACTCCACCAGTCGAGGTCTGCTTCAAGTCTCTTAACCGGTCGTCGTGGGAGAAAAGGCTTAACTGCCGCGAGGCGTAGCATGGCCTCCAAGGACATAAGATACGCCCGTCCTTTTAGGACGACGAGCGTGGCATGCAATAGCTTACCATACAGCTGTTGGACATCAATGAGGACGTGCGCGACGCGCTCTCTCCATACTCTGATAGCCTGGAGATACTTGTTTTTCTTCTCGTCAGCCAGGAAGACTTCATTCTGGGCAAGATCCCACATAAGACCAATGTATGGGTTGAGGTGGGCAAAAATCTTATCCTTAAGTATCTCCCATGGGATGTCGAGGTCGTCAGAGACCTCATCAATTTCCGCCATGTTGTAAGAGAACCGGGCATCTTCATCTGACCTGGGCGACGCCCCTGATAAGTCTTGAATGGGAAAACGGCAGTCTTCATCGAATTCCTCCAGTGTTCCATCATCAAACACATGTCCGCCAAACCATATCCTTCCTCTATCTTGATGCTGGCCCCTTCTAGTGATTTCTTGATGCCATTGTCGTCTCCTTTCGTTGTATGACACGATGTGTTCTTTAAGTATTCGAATAAATAGATGGTCATCGACCCATCTTGAGGCTGGTCCGATTCCTTTCGAACGGAATAAGTCCAGACCGGCATCGGCCAGGTTTCCGTAAGCTCCTGCCGACAGCCATAATCCGAAGCACATGCATGTATCAATGCAGAACAGGTCATCCGAGACCCGCACAACTGACCCTGGCCATTGAGACTTGTGAATAGGCACTGTACGGTATGCTTCTGAGACGTCCCTGATGGCAAATTGAGATCCTGGCGGTAGGCGGCTGATTGTGAGAGCGAGTATGTGAAAGGTACCCCAAGTGCTAGGGAAATTGTCTGGATCAATGTAGGAATTGATTGACGCATTAGGGAACTTCGTTGAAGTAAGATGGGGAAAAGAATAGTTCTGAATGACACGATAACATCCAGGCCGACCCGGTTTAGGAATAATTGAAAAGGGGGAGGATTGAAAAGGACCGATGAGATCTTCGACTTCGTTAGCTTTGAGTGGACTGATGTATCTTCCTTTCTCAAGCTCAGTTTGTACAATGGATTGAAACTCTTGTTGATATGTAACAATAGACTCTTTGTTAGGTGGCGCTTGCGTGCGTTTAATATTAGGGATATCAAGGTGGAAACCATGACGGAGTCCTTCTGGTACATGCGAGTATCTGTCATAAAGTCCGGCTGAAACAAGTCCAACTTCCCAAGCCTTTGGGTCGTAAGGTGTGAGTGCCTTAAGCCTTCTGCACTCGAGGGCAAGTTTGAGCTCCGTGAGAGGATATGCCACAACCGGAGCAAAAGTGCCTCCGGTCATGAGTGGTCTCGGCGCAACCGCTGAGTCGTTGCCAGTCGCTGCAGACGGGCTTGCCGTCCCGCATGGTGAGGACTCTGCCGATGCGCGAGCAAATGGTGTCGCCCGCATCGTCCCAAGTCCGAGTGGCCTTGCACTTGATGATCTTGTGCGGGTTTCGCCCGAGGCAGACAGCACAAGCTGAGAGGACACCTCTGCTTGTGCTGGCCCGAAAATCCTGTCTCGCCCTTTTCCCTTTGCTGGTATGCTCAGGTGAAGCTGATCGCTTACGCGTGTCTTTGGAATTGCGCTGCTTGTTCCACGCGTTATCACGTTGGTCGGACTGCGTTTGAGCAGCGTGGCATGTGGCGTGTGGCATGGGGCGTGTGGCATAGCGTGTGTGGCATGAGGCATGTTATGTGTGGCATGTGGCAAGGCGTCAAAACGATACAACAAGAAAGAGTTATTAAAACCGAGTGATTAGCTCAAGCCTATGTTTCATTGATTGAATAAGACTGACCTTGTAGTTCCTAGCGTTGTCTCTCTTGTCGTGTTCATCCCAGTAAACCCTCTCTCTTGTCTCTTGTAGAACTTTCTTGTTGATGATAGATAGGTCGTAGGGACCCACAGACGTCTTTACCGCGACATGCCAACGTCTGCGTTGCTCTGCCTGGTAGGCCAGCAGGGCCTTCTGCCCTATCGGGTTCCGCATGGACCGATACTCGTGAACCTGGATGTTCCTCCAGAACTTGGCCATCATTCTGACCCTGTCCTCTGGCCAGTCTGCTTTGCCCATTGCTGTCAGCATGCGAGGTCAGGCTTGGCAGAATTCCTCAAATGGTAAGTCTTCATCGTTAATGACGGCGTGAGCGCTGCGAGTGGACGCCGCTGAGACCCATGCTGACGAACTGTCTGCCAGAGTGGACATGATCATGGCGTCATCGTCCACTGTTTTCTTTAGATTGGCTTCATCCAGGCCGTCATTAGTGAAATACCATATTTCAACATACTCTCCTTTTTCTATTTTCCTAAGCGCGTAGGAGCATGGTGTGGTAGCTGGGTCATCCAGTATTCCTGTATTGAGAATTGGCGTGAACTTGTGCTTATTCTTCTTCCTATCTTCCTTGCGAGCGGCCTCTTCTTCTTGAATTCGCGCTTGTTCGATTCTCTCTTGCTCCTCCTCTTCAAGTTGTTCGCGGTGAGCGCGCTCTTCTCTATCTTCTGCTACTTGGCATTGCCAGGCTACCTTGTCTACATTGTTATTCGCCTCCCAGATGTTCTTGAGTAGTTGTATTGCCTGTTCTTCAGTAACCTCATCACTGATGAGTTGAGCTCGAGTATCGGCAAAACCATCCGACGCGTAGTCTGGACAAACATTGAAGTTGGGATTGTTACGCATCCTCGGCATGACGACTGAAGTAAGTGTAGATGATGCGACGAAACGAGAGTGTAGTCTATCAGTAGAGGACTTGCAAGTACTACGTGGTAGTACAAAGCAAGAAGGGTGAGAAACTCGAAAAAGCTATGCTGCCGCGTAGACCTCATTCTATGTACGTTCTCGTGCCTCGAACTTTACTTAGAATATAATCTATGGGGATAGCCAAATACAATATTCACATTCACCTTGCCCCGCAGACACCACCTCGACCTCTCCAGGCTCCAGCAGTACTACTTAGTGGCTGCAGAGCCAGACCTAGCCAGACTCCGAGACTCGCACACAGCTGGTGCCGGAAGTTGCCGAAGCATTAGTGTCATTCAGAGTCGCTTCCTGAAAATTCAGTAAGTGCTCTAACACAGCCCAATGCACGGCATCCATGCGGCAATTTTCATGCGGAGTTTTAAGTACCCATGCCTGCCCTTCGCCCTCGTGTACGGTGGTCTGAACAACTGCGAAGGCTAACTACCACCCCCGTATCACCCATGAGCAATCCACAGAGGACCACACAAGGCAGAACGAGAGGCCAAATGAGAGGGACGAGAGGGACTAGGGGAGGAACAAGAGGAGGAAGTACTGATTCAGCCAATGTCACAAATACTGCCCCTGTCAATATTCCTCCTGCCACTACCAGTGCTACTGCAGCTGGCCCAACTACTACTACCAGTGTTCCAATTCCTCCATCGAAATTCATCATCAAATGGGAAAGTGGGCAGATAGATTGCACATTCCCCCTAGTCGCTTATCTTGTAGCTCATCGTGCGGACTCTCACATACTTTTCAGTGACAACAAAAAGAAGAATCAATCCATGCAGGATGACAATGGTGGCGCACAACCTTCCAGCAAGGACAAGGGTCGCATACATGCCATCATTGTGCAGGAGGTCTTTGCTAAAGATGAGCACTATAGCACTCACTATAAGGTGTGTCCCCAGAAGTTTGCAGTTGCAGTTGCAAACCGTCTTACATTGTGAGTGTTTTTTTCTCTCCTTCACCTCTTATGTTCTAATGTGCCTAGTCTTAAAAGCAAATATCGAACACAATAATCAAGATTTACCCAGACTGGCAGTGGAGTTGACCCCACTGATCCACAGGCGGCAGCCAATCTACGTGGTATGTTTATTTCTTTGATAAATCACAGCCCATGCTGATTAGTTTATAGAGGATGTACTAAGACATCTCCCGACCTATGATGACCTCAATGAGTTATGGCACACCATCCCGTCATATGCCCCAAAGGCTTTCTCATCTGATCCTCAAGTTGATCACTCTAGCTGCCTTCTGTCTATCGTACACACGAAAAGTGCTCCTGCTTCTATATCTTCTGCCATTAGTCACCTGGGTCCAGATGGTGGTGATGCCAATGAATTGGATGGCAACCACTCCCAGGATCTCCCTCCGCCCAGTACTGAACAACCACCATCAATTGCGGACAATGATGATCAATTCAATTATGACATGCTGGATGATGGTGCAGTGGATGAAGAGGCAAACACTAGTGGCGGTGAGATGAATGCTGATGATGACAAAGACTATGACATGGCAGGACACGAGACTGGAATTTCTATGATAGTCGTGTTGAGAAGCGTCCATGCCCATTCTCCCCTTCACCACCTCCTGAATCTACTATTTTGCCTACGATGTCACCCCACACTCTAGTGGCCAACTCATGAGCATCATTTGCTACCCATGCGAGCTGTGCCATTGAGCGCACATCTCTTTCCAAGCACCGCAGGCCGCCACCTTCTGCCGCTTCCTCTACCATAAGTTCGTCAGCACAGTCCTCATCTGGATCTGTTCCCTCACATTCGCCAACAACCAACACGTCCTTCTCTACCAAAGCAAAGAGCATCAAACGTGTGCGGTCTGATATTGCCAGTGTTCATGACAAGGTGCAATTGCTTGCACAGGGGGTGGTAGCTGAGCACTATAGTGCGAAAGCTGAACAGAAGATGCTCAAGCTTCAGATTCATGAAAAGGAATGGGACCAAATGTACTCTCTCAGCAAACATTTGATTGAATAGTCGAGCTCTTCACTTGAGCATCAGTGAATACTAGAATCAAAGAACGCTGATATTTGTCTTGAACAAGCAAAGGCTCAAACATTCGCATCTGAGATGGAGCTCCTTCGCCTCAAGCTTCAGCTAGGGGAGCAACAACTCCAGCTCCAGAATCAGCAGTGCAATTAGTGTCATTGTTCCTGGATATTACTAAATCTTCATCGCATCTGTTTTGATTGTACTTGTCTTTGTTATTGGCCACCATTGTTGATTGCTGTGTGCCTGCCCTTGTTTGTGCATTGCGCATTTGTCTTGATCATCAGGTATTGTTGTTGTTGTTTTGTGATACTAGCATGCCCATGATTGCCTTATGTCCTCTACTACGTCCTTAATTCGTTATGCCCTTTGTTGTTCGCGTGCTAATACAAATTTTGATGTGATACCTACTAGTCTCTGCACACTGCATCAACACTGTAAGGGCTATCAAGTAAGAGATCCATAAGTTCGATCCGATGCCAGTTGACCTGGAGTGCCATTAACAGGGTTATCGCCTATACCATCCTGCCCTGCAGCCGCAAACCTTGCCCCTTCTCGACAAGCCCACTCAACCGTGTCTTCGCTCTCATACTGTTCCTTGAATCAAACAACCATATTGTGGAGTATAAGGCAGCATAGAATCCAATAACTCAAATAGTGAAGGTCCTTTTCCGCAGTGATAGGGTGACAAAGCTCCCTGAAGAGACTGAAAACATCCTTTAAGAGCTGCAAATGTGTGCTCAACATGAATGCGAACCTGAACTACCTTAAATTAACGCAAAATTTCAGCACATTCAGAGCACATACATGGGAAAGGTGAAAATTAAATGTTCATTGGTTGTGCATCAATGCTCCGTTCCGCGGTTTCTTGAACGGTGGAACACACCATGTCTTGACTGGATACACGCCATCCGCCCATACCCAGTGGTCATCGTCAAGAACTTGTTGTGCTGATCTAGCAGTGCCACCATCACATGGTTTGTGCAGTTGGTGATGGATCTGACACCAATCCCCGCCCATTGGGCAATATCTTGATTCAAAGCTGCGCTCCCATAGTGCCCCACACAATTTAAGAAGACAGCAAGTTGTAGGGCGATGGGGAGCTGACGGTTGTTCGAATTGTTTTGAAAAATTGCGTGTCCACTGATTTGATCCAAGATGGCATCAAAAACATCAGGGTTGATGCGCAGTTCCTGGCGAAATAAATCAGGGTGATCCTCAGCAAAGTAAGTTAAGAGTTGGATCTGAGGAGCTCATGGAATAGGGCGATTTGGTCAATTGAAAACTTTAGAAGCTCTAACCTTGTCGCGAAGAGCAGAGATTGCGCCAAGGAGGCGACCATACCGTGCAATGACATCACTGGAGTCGCTGGAGTGGCCGCTGCCACTACTGTCAGAAAAATAGGGGGAGACTGGGGAGACTGGGCTCATGAGGATATCAGAGTCGGAGTCGGAGTCAGAGTGATCTTGCATAACATGATCGCACATGGCTGTAACTACCTCTAGAGTAGCAGTATCGATATCTTGGAGAAGCCGTTTGTGAATCGGTTGATGAGGGGGCATGTTGTAGTTGCAGCAGCGCGGAGTTTGAATTCATCTCTTGCATGTTGAGTGCAACATCAAGCTCCACATACACTATGACACTTTCAAAGCTTCAAAAACACACCTATAATTTTTCCTCTCATACAGAACTTGAAGAAGATACAGCAAATGTAGATCACTGTGCGGTGTATACCAACACAGAGATAGCGAATGTGCCACTGGCAAGTACTCAAATTTCCATCACTTTCTGATGTATTCAAGTGCCCTCCATGCCCACAGCCTGAGAGTACAATGAAAACAACTCTCCCAGTTGCTACGGAGTCCAAATCCATTCATGGTGACTTGGAAGCACCTTACTCATCTGAGTCTGACCCCGAAGCCAACGATAACGAGCCCCATGTGAACCTACTATCATCTGATCGCAAAGTTGATCATGCACTCCACCTTCTGTCAATCATAAAACATGGTGCCCCCACTGCAGTACAAGTCACTCCTCTTAGGTGGTGCTGCTGACCAGATTTATTCACTTAGGCATCTTGCCCTCGCACTTATACTTCACCCCATCATGCTGGAAGCCACTCTCACACTCATACTTCACCTGTCACAACCCTTTTAACGAATTAACGCAGGGGCAGAGACTAGGACTCAAACAAAGGTTATCGAACAAAGAAAAGATAATGAGCAGGGACATCTTAGGATTGCTAGCAATGAGCTAATACAAAAGAGGTTTGAACTGGAGAACTACTGACTACAATGAGCTACCTATATACATATATTGAAGCGGAGACTGAATCTGAATCTGAACTAACTAGCCAATCATTAAATAGGAAAGGGAATCGTACGATGTTCTAAATATAACTACACTATGATGTCATGGAACGTGTGATGGCTGTGCAAGGGTTCTCGAAGGTTCTAGAGTCACGTGACTTGATTGCTTGAGTAAGGAAGTCGAATTCAGAGATGTCGGAGATAGAAGTAGTGGGCGCTAATGGAATGGAGAAGTTCGGGTTAGGGTTTGTGAAGGTTATAGGTACAGACGCTGGTTGAGCGCTAACAACAGGCGCTTGTAACGGGCGCTTAACGCGTGTCTTACGAGTATTTAGGAAAGAATAATGGTTTGTATTTGGAACTCGTGACATTACCCCCTCTCTAGGATGAGCGTCATCGCGAATGTAAGATGGTCGGATGTTTTTCTCTCTCCACTGTTTGAATGCATCCGTATCCAAAATAGATCCAAGAATTCGTTTGGATTTAGCAGCCGTGGGATTCTTTTTATGGAATTCCGCAATTAGAATCGGGGAGTTTTTAACGTTTTCTTCTGGCTCCCATGTCGACTCTTCTATCGGATATCCCTCCCATTTTACTCGGTATTGCACTTTTCCTCGGAATTGTCGGCTATCTAATACTTCTTCTACTGACAAATTCTTCCTGATCGTCAACAATGTCTGGAGGTGGTCGGGTGGGTTGAGAATGAGGGATTATTTGAGATGCGTAATATGGAGTAAGCAATTCTACATGGAAAACCGGGTGAATCTTATAGCTTTCTGGCAATTTCAACTTATAGTTCACTTCGCCGGTCTTCTCTAGTATTTCAAAGGGCCCAAGACGACGATCTGACAACTTTTGACTTGGACGACATTATTTGATGTTTTTTGCGTCTAGCCAGACCTTGTCTCCCTTTTGATACTGAGGTGCGTCTTTAACTCCTCGGTCATAGAAGCGTTTCATGCGTTCATTAACCATCTTCAGAGTGTTTTCCGCATCATCTCGTGCTTCTCTCATCTGATCTGCTCTCTCATCGGCGGCGGGAATAAAGGATGTAGAGTTCGGGGATATGGTGAATTCAGGATTATATCCATAGAGGATCTTGAACGGACTATGACCGGTTACTGTGACTGCATTGTTATGTGAGAATTCTGCTATTGGCAGCCAAGATACCCAATCATTTTGTCTATACGAGGCAAACATGCGCAAGTATTGTTCAACTTCTTGATTTACACGTTCTGTCTGTCCGTCTGTTCTGGGATGATAGGAGGTCGAAGCAGACCATTTCGTTCCTAATCTTTTCGATACTTGTCCCATAAACTTCGAAATGAACTGTGTTCCTCTATCCGAAATCACTTTTTTAGGTGTACCATGATGTTTCCATACGTTCTTTAGAAATAGCTCGGCAATTCCTTTCGAGTCTACATCTTTGGTGGTGGGAATGAAATGTGATTGTTTCGAAAATCGATCAACGACAACGAATATACTGTCACATCCTTCACTCTTCGGCAAGTCCACTATCAGGTCGCATGAGATCGTTTGCCAAGGTCCTTCTGGGACTTCATTTGGCTGTAAAGGTCCCGTTGGTCTACTGGGGAACACTTTCGTTTGTTTGCATCGATCGCAACCGTCTACGTAATCATGGACATACTTCGTCATTGAAGGCCACCAATAGTTTCTGGAAATCAATTCTAAGGTTTTGGCACGTCCAGGGTGTCCAGCCGGTGGAGAGTCGTGAAACAACTCCAATATTTCTCGGCGGATCTCTTTATCGTTTGGAACATATACCAGTCCTCGGAATAACACCAATCCGTCCTCAACATTCCATTCTTCGATTCCTCTGCGCAATTGTACTGGTGCTACTTTTAGCGTTTCTAGCGCTTTCATTACTTCGGGCTCTCGTTCTGTGCTCTTCCTTATCTTTTTCATGAGCGAACTTTCTCCTTCTATGAGAATTTGGCCTCGTTTAGCAGCTTTGATCTTGAAAAATTCCGGTTTTTAACAAAATGCGGTCAGAATTATCGTTTTCTACCCCCCCCTCTGTGGTCTTCTCTCCGAGATAGACGGTCGGCTTTGTCATTGACTACACCAGGCTTATGTTGGAGCGTAAATTCGTACTCCGCCAGGAACAAACTCCATCTGGCTTGCCTTCTTGTCAACTTCTGACTCGTCATAAAGTACTCGAGATTCTTATGATCCGTCCAGATCTCCACATGTTGGGGTTTTCCCTGCACATAGTGCCTCCACTCCTCCAACGCACGAATGATTGCTAATAACTCTTTGTCATGGATGTCATAATTTCTTTCTGCATCATTCA